GTAGGGAAATAATCCTGAAACCTCTCTGATTATGTCTTTCTGTGATAAGGTTCAAACCATCATACCAATTTAGAGTGGGGGAATGTTAAGTTTCCTTCAACTTCTTGTCAGAAGGTCTCTTAATTGAAACCTGCATGCCACTGGGTGATCTACTTTCTTGAGAAGGTCAATAAGGCCACTTTCTCGAATAATCTCATGGTACTACCAAACCACAATTTAGAAACAAATATGAAAGCTCCAGTAGTGGCAATACCCACTAAAAATTTTCAATGATTTGTGGCTTTTATTGTAATCATCCAAAATTGCTTTCTGTGCCAAAGAGATGTTGGCTTCTCAATAAAGAATTCTGTTGCATCAATAATTACCCTGGTGTCAGGGTGTTTCTTGAACAATTTGGAGAGTTGGCAATTGATCTTCTAATGCCAAGGCCACCAGAGTTAAGAACCATCTAACAGTTTAGCTAGCAAACAAACCCATGTTGCGACAATCTTACAAAAGGTTGACACAGAGACACCAATGATGTCTCCTTGATGTTGGTTCAGTAAGCCTACCTGTGGTCAACACAGAACTAAGAGATATTCTTTATTCACTGTGATTTGCCTTAGCCTACTGGGCTTCAGTTTTGTTACCTTAGTTTCTCCATTATAAGGCACACAGTTTTTTCAAGAAAATTCTGTATTTGGCTGGAAAGTTGGTTCTGAAATTGGGTTGCACCTTATAGCCAAGTATTTTTGTGCAACAAAATCTTAAGATCACAATTTTAGAAGAACTTACAGTAAACAAAGGCAAGAAAAGGACACTAATTGACAAGAGAAAAAGGAGAAAAAGCAAAGCTCTTTGGTCTGAGGTGATCCAAAGATTGTGTCAAATTCAAACCTTCATTCCAATGAATTAAAAAGGAATACTTCTTTTAGAACACTAATCAACTTCTATAAAAAAGTAAACAAACAAAAATTTGCATACATGCTTAACAGAAGGTGCTCGGTAATATGATATCCAACTCAGGTCCATCAGTTGGTAGCATTCCATGGATGCACACTTTGCTGTCATCCGCAGCTCACCAGAAAAAATGACATGTTTCTGGTTGCATCATTTTCTCACCATGGATTGTGAAATGCCATATTCATGGGCAATTTC